GGAAGGAAGGAAGGAAGGAAGGAAGGAAGGAAGGAAGGAAGGAAGGATCTCATTAAGTTTTAGCATATCATACTGACAATCTCATGAGATTTCAGCATCCTCCCCAGGGAAAGATTATCAATTCTGTCTGGATTTGACAGTAATCTTAAAGTTTAGTGTTGTTAATTAAAAAAACATGATTGGAGTGCCTGGAATAATACATTTATATGCTAGTGCCTAACAGCTGAAAAGATTGTAACCCTTATAATCCAATTTCTATCTAAATGCAAGAGATTTATAGACCATTCCGACCTAATGGCTGACTATTCACTTGGTCAGTAGGAGAAAAAAATACATCACTTTCCTAAGGTACTTCCTCATTCCAACTAGGGCTGTGACTGAATTCACCATCAAGAAGACAGGGAAATCCTAGAGTTCTCAGGAAAACCTTAGAATCCAAAAGTTTCTTAAAATGTATTATTCAGTCTACCACTTTTACATTTTAAAAAAATGCCAATCTGTGGGTAATGAGTTCCTGTCCCAAGTAAAGTCATTAATTCAGCAGAATTTGTATACTTCTGATTATTTTTGCTATTTCGTTACAAAACATCTAGAATTTGGATGTACTTGTAGTTATAGTTACACATTGCATAATGTAATTGTTGAGGGGCTTTCCTGTACTGCCTTGCAGGTTAATAGGTTTTGTTGCTGACCGTTTGCTTAACTTCTATAACAGATTGATATGTGATCTATCATACTACTAGCCTGGCTCCATTATTAAGTTTATTGCCATCTTGTATCAAGAAATGTTTTGTGTTCCAATATCCCTCATTTCACCATTTTCATTGTGAGGATTTTATAAGGCTATTCAGGGAGCAGAACAGCAACATAATTTGATATCTTCCACAAGCAGCCATCCTGCTGCCACTGATAAGCTTTCCTAGGAGGGCAGTGATGAAATTTAGTGCTTTACAATCCTTAATTGGCACATGTCTTTGTCAGACATATACAGCCACTGGGGGGAATGCCATATGACAATCTAGCAGGCAGATTGACACCTTACACAAGTTCAGGTTGTTTTTAAAATAGTGGCACTAAAATGAAAGCATATCATCAGATTTTTGTAGTTCAAAGCTTAAGATAACAGAAAACAGAATATAGAAATAAAAAGAATATTTCAGATTCTTCATTTTTTAACTTTGCAGCGTTCAATCTATTGCTTGGCGTTGTATTGGTTCAATGTACCAATACCTCCACACAAACCTGCCATTTGTTATTATTTAGTAACCCCATACAACCCAGACATTGAAATACAGAAAACAACCTCCAAAACTGAATTCATGATATAAGAAGTAAAAAAAAATGAATACTAGTACTACATTGATTTAGTAAATTAAAACCAATACCATAGGACCATTTCTTAAAGCAGGTCAATCATGACTGATGAGACATGATTGCAGAGGATTTTAGAAGGTAGGCAGAAAAGGCAATATAATTTCAACCTTGACAACAGGGAAAATAGATATACCACAACTAGTAGCAGCTATTTAGGCCTGGAAGAGAAGATATTCCTATCTCCAGACCCTAGAAACACATCATTCCAGACCAGAAGCAGATAATGGAGTAACTTCAGAGGAGGAGGTGCAAAAGAGGTTTGAATTGCCCCTTTGAGAAACAAGAAGAAAGAAATCATATGGGGAACTTTCCTTTTTCTTTGGTTTTTGTATGAACACCTGAATGTTGAGGTTCTGTAGACAGAGACAGAGAGAGACAAAGACATAAACACAGACATAAACACAGAGAAAGACACACAGAGAAACAGAGATTGAGAGAAATAATAGTTGTTTAGTTCTAGCAACATACCGTGTTTCTCACAAAATAAGGCAGGGCCTTTTTTTTTTTTTTTTGAGCCCTGAAAAAATGTCTAGGACATCTTTTCTGGGAGGTGAATTAATTTCTTCTCCCCCCTGCGCACCAGCGCTGTCTCCAACAACAGCATCTGAGTTGCTCCCGCTTTTCTCCCATCCCCTTAACAACAGGAAAAAAAAAAGATTTTGAGGAACCTGGGAGCACCGCACGCTGCATTTTGGTTTAATCCCGAGCAGCTGGCTTGGGCATGAGAAGAGCCAAGTGAGGGTCTCTGCTGCTGCTACCCTTGGTGCTCCAGCCTCGGACTCTCTGCAAGTTTGCAAAAGTCCTGGTGTGCAGCCCGTTCCTGCATTCCAAGCACCCAGGCTGAGCTGCAGCTGTCCTTCTCTCACCAGCACCATCTCCAACAACAGCGGCAGCAGCAGCAGGAACCGTGGAAGTTACAGAGGTGGCTCCCTCACCTGAGAAGCATCTGAAACACTTCCATAGTTCCCGCTGCCACTGCTGCCACTGTTATTGGGGACAGCGCTGGAGAGAGAGGGACAGTTGAAGCTCGGCCTGGGTGCTTGGAATGCAGGAACGGGCTGCACACCGGGACTTTTGCAAACTTGCAGAGCCTGAGGCTAGAGCACCAAGGGTAGCAGCAGCAGAGACGCTTGCTAGGCTCTTCTCGTGCCCATCCAGCCACTCGGGATTAAACCAAAACACAGCACGCGGTGCTCCCAGGTACCTCAAAATGTTTTTTTTTCCTATTGTTACAGAGACAGGAGAAAAGCGGGAGTGACTCAGAGGCTGTTGTTGGAGACGGTGCTGGCATGAGAGACGCCAGCACCGGTGGGAACCGTGGAAGCTACAGAGGCCTGAGAAGCAGCTGAAATGCTGCCAGACATCCATGCCGATTCCGCCCACCTGCTGTCCTGGGTAAGGGAGGGGTAAGGGAGCTCTCCGTGCTCCACCATGATTGGCTGTTAGGAGCGGATGATGGTGAAGTGTAGCTGCCCGTGGGGCACTCCTAACAGCAAGTTCCCCCCCTGCCTTCTCCCCCATTTCACATGTTTTAAACTAGGCCTAAATTTGGGGAAAGGGGCTTAATTTCATTTTATGCCTAGAAAACATGCTGGTCTTCCTATTGGGGGGGGGCGTATCGTTGGAGAAACACAGTAATAGAATTACCATTCTTCTGAATTAGGATTTAATAACTATAATTAATTGAGGGATGAGACAAGGTGCTTTCCTCTTTACTATGTTAATTTTGTTCATTGATACTGTTGCATTTGGCTGAATTATTTATATTTGCTGTTGTTTCATTTTCTAGTTTGTGCTACATTTTCTCAATTTAGACAAAGTTCTAATAGTAGACTTTACTTTCACCTAGTAGAATGGTGACATGGGGAAAAAGGAGAAGAGGTAATAGTTTTTCTGTTAAAAAGAGGTAAAGTATATTCAGTTATAATGGTTCATACTTCTACATTTCTATCAGGATAGTCAGGCATACCAAGTAAAATTACCGATGCCTTGATATTCTTTGATATCATCTTGGTCTGGATATAAAAAAGACAAATTTTATCATCTTACAGTGAATCAAGAATTTTACTATGTGTAGTATGAGACAACCAGAAAATAAGTCCTAGCATGATGTTTCAGGATACTCATAATATAAGCCTTAGCCCAAAAATAAACCCCAGATTAAGATTGTCAGCCAGACTGACACATTAGTACCATATCTCCCCCAAAATAAGTCCAAACTGGAAAATAATCCTTAATACAACTTTTGGAGCAAAAATTAATATAAGTCCCAGTCTTATTTTTGGGGAAACAATGTGTACTGAACTGTGCTATGCTATGCTATGCTATGCTATGCTATGTATGCTATACTATACTATTATTACTATGCTAGTCAAATATGTTGATCAAGGAGATGTATTGCAGTAGTCCATAATATTACCACATTCTTTTCCCGTCTACTTGAAACCAGCTTTAAGGGCATTTGTTTCATTCTGAATGATCACATAGTAGTATGAATTCTGCTGCTTTGTAGCGTCCCTGATTATGTAGATTCAACTGGTCTGCAGAGTGGAAGGAGTAGCCCTTTTTCTTGTTGTTTTGAGAAATTTAAGTGTCATGCATATCTAAGAATATACCATGAGATATTATTGTTTTTATGTCTTCCATTAAACACATCATGCCTTCCATCTGATTTTTGTCTTGGAGGGAAATAGCCTTATATAGATGTCCACATTTGAAACCCTTGCCATATACAGACAACAAAAGACTGTCAAAATATTCTGCTTTCTAAGGATAAGGCCAGATTCAATTAATTTTTAATTAATTAATAACATTAATCTATGTTTGATAAATTATTCAAGGATGTTTTCTCAAACTTAGTTGATTGGTCTAGCTACAAGATGATTGAGATGTGTAACTCAAAAAACATCACAAAACTTAAT